CCTACACCTCACTCTCAGTCCCAGACCCCACTCCCCCATTCGCAAAGAGATGCCACTGGGCAAGATGGTGAGAATTGGTGTGTCCCTCTGAAAAGTTATTCCACCCATGCACAGCTTACAATGGACTACAAGCAATCTGTATGATTAGCAAACAAAGGGTCCCAGGCCTCTAAAGCAAAGTGGAGCAACCTTTTAACAAGGCACAGCTCTGCCTTCTGTTCCTGACCTTAGCCAGCTATTGGCATCATTTTCATGCAGCCCTGTACAAGCATATCCACGTATTGCTGCCCAGCTCTGAGCTGGCAAAGACAAGGGAATGGAGAGTCCTGCGGAGGCGTTTGTTTTAATGCAGAAGCAGAGCAAGTTAAGCCTGGACTGGCTTGTCTAGAAAGGCTCAGAGAATCTGTGGTAAACAGGAAACAGGCAGAACCATTTGCATAACAGCATTTCCCCCCACCCTGCCTAAAAAAAAAAAGGACCCATCCATCCACCACACAAATGCTAGGTCTCATTAAAGGCTTCTGGTTATGCCTGGCTCCCCTTACCCTGCACTTGTTACTTCTGCGCAGCCTTCAAGCTGGTGGGGAAGGAGTTATGAAAGACAATGCAGGGCAGATAGACTCTTTGTGCTGACTTGTCACCTTGCAGGCGCCCATTAGACGTTTTTAAGATCCACGCAGGAAGCTGATTAGTGGGAGGAGGCTCCAGTGATCCGGCTAATGATAGAGACCAGCACCAGGGCAACATAACCCTGAGCAGGAGTAATGTAAAAACCTTCACTTGGTCCCCCTCTCCTCCCCCTCCCCAGCTTTGCCTCCAGAGGGACTCACATCCTTCTGGTTTAAGCCCATCTCATCTGAATAGTTCCCAGCGATGATAAGTGCTGCACTTTCACTCTCTCACCTCCTGACTCCCAGCACACTCATACACGGATAAGGTGGGGACAAGAGCCAGAGGGAGTTATGAGATTGGTTTCAATCATTCCAAGGGTTTACTTTTCATTCACATCTGTCTGCTTGGTATTTGTGACTGCGCCACCTCTCTGTAAAGGGAAGATGTAAGCATTTGCTGAAAGGGCTGCATGGTTGTTCAGTGTTGTCAGGCAATAGCTTTTCAGTACTCAGTCTTCTCAAACACCATTAACCGCCACACTTCCCCACCAACCAGAATGGAGGGCCCTATATCCAGCATGCAAAGGCATGGAGGTAGGCATTTCTTGTCCATTGCTGTGGAAGTATCCCTATAGGGTGCCACATATTGGTCCTGTCTTGGTTAAAATGAAGACCTCAGAAGGCAGCATGAG